GAAAGAGGGTGAGCTGGCCTGCCACCATTCCTCAGCCCCTTGAGTGCCTTGCTGACGCCTCAGTTCTGGCCCCTCAAAGTCTGAGCAGTTGCAGGCTTTCCACATCCAAAGGTGGCATGGCTTAGCAGAACCATGAAAGGTTCTCTCTTCTGAGGAAGCTGCTGAACCGTGTTCAGAGTGGCCCCTAGTGGCTAATTTCCAAAACAGCACACAGCGAGAAACCGCATCTGAAGGAATCCCGAGAATGACCTAGATTTCGGAAAGCCCAAAGTGCGAATGTGGGCCTGATGCAATGAGGTAAAGTGGCTGCCCAGGGTCGCACCAGAGCCTCATGTCCACCTGCCCAGGGGCCATCTGTTCCAGATGCCGCTGGAGAGCATAAAGGAAGGAATCACATTTGAACAGAGGGGTGCTACCAGGAGCCCCGATTGCTAAAGCAGACCAGGCCACGCTTAGAACAAGACTCAAGTGCACACCCTTTCAATCTCACCTATTGAAGAATGTGCTGGAAGACCCGTGCCCGGTCTGGTTCTTATCTAAAGTGGAGTAACCCACTTTATGAACATCCAAGTGCTTTATATGCAAGACAATCACTTTTCATTTCTTCCTCCTCCGCACGAGGTCCTGGGGGTTGGAATTATTTTCCTTGTGTGGGGAGAGCAATTTTGACAAATCCTAGAAACAGAACCCCCAAGTAAGTGCCACTGAGGACTTCCAGAAGGCTCATGTGGAAAGGTTTGCCGTCACACTGACGGAAGCCTGGGTTTGGAGACCTGAGGTCCGCCATTTCTACCAGTGGATTCCAATCTCCTCCTGATGGAGAGCCGCTTATTTGATCCGCTCTGCAGCAACCTCCTGGCACCTAGTGCAACATGCAGGGGGCCGAGAGGAAGAGAGGACGGAGTCCTTGGTCCCAGAGGCTGGGGCTGGTTCCAGCAGGAGACAGAGGTGGGGGAGTTCCGATCACTGATCCGATGATGGCAAGGGGAACAAGCAGGAGAGGCATGCAGCGGCTTCCAGAGCCACCGGCAGTCAGTAACAATGCCGAGAATAAGGGATGGGACTTAAGTTGAGAGGCCTGCAGTGCATGAGTTGAAACAAAA